GGGATGTGGAGACTACGCGCAGAGCAGAGGAGAAGGAGGAGGGCGGCGGGACTGAAGGGCGGCAGGACTGGTGTCGGCGGGAGGCGGCGATGTGGAGGCGCAGGCCGCGGAGCAGAGTAGCAGGGGGAGGGCGGCGCGGTATGGATTCGAACGTCGGCTGTCGGCGCCCGGCGGGGAGGTGGGGACTTGGAGGCGCAGAGCAGAGGAGTAGCAGGGGGAGGGCGGCCGGTGACTGGAATGGAGACGGGATCCCGATTCGGGCGGCGACGGGAATGGAGATGGGAGGATTTGGTGGCGGCGTGCTGCTCTCTGCACTCTGCTGGGAGGTTTGGTGGCGGCCAAAATTTGGGGTTGGAGGAGGTCGACTGAGTACTGACTCAATTCAAATCACATTAGAGATATTAGGGTTTTACCTATATCCGGGTATCCACGGGTCGGGTTCCCCCAAACCCGAACCCGACCCAACCCGCCCAGCCAGCCACCGGGTTTTAACCCGAACCCGACCCGAACCCAGTCAACACGGATTTTACCCGGTTTGACCGGGTCGGGTCGGGCGGGTACCCGCGGGTCCGGGTTTTATTGCCATCAAACAGGCGAAATTTTGTGCGAGGAAAAAAAAACTGAATTGCTATTCTAAAATTTAAATGATTTCGCCCTAAATCATACTAAATTGACTTGTATACCCTTATACCCATTTTCAATCCGGAATTCCTAACTCGGACAAATCGTCCGACCACCGCTGCCGATCCCCAACCCACTGTCGCTCCCATTCCACACCCCGCCGGCCTGCTGTCATTGCTGAGAAAGGAGGAAGAAGAAGGTCCGAGCGCTGGCCTGTTGTCATTGCTGAGGACGGAGGAACAAGAAGGTCCGAGCGCTGGTCACCCGCCTCGATTCCTCCAATTCGACGACCCGCTGCTGAGGAAGAAGAAAGAAGAAGCAGAAGCAGGAGTAAGAAGGTCTGAAGCTTGGTCCGCCGGTGTCATTCCCCAGTTGCCCATCTTCTTAGCCCCGATTCATTACTTACGCCAACTTTTGCTGAGTTATAGACATAAAAGAAATTCAACCTAGCTAGACAAAGTCCAAAAGTTGATCATTAATGGGGAACAGCTCCAGGAAATCCGTATCGGCGACGACGATTGGGAGACCCTCAGAGACCACCGCCACCACAAGATAGTCTTGTTCGATGCGGACGCCAACACCGGCGATGACCACCTCGGTGTTGTCGGCGTCAACGGAGAACAAGGCGATGATGATTCTTCTTCGACTATAATTTTAATAGGTATATGTTTTGAAAATAAAAATTAAATTAAGGATATTTAAGCCATTTTAATAAACGTTAGGGCGACAAATAAGGAGTTTTAGGGCGACCAATAGCAATCCCAAAAAAATTAGAGGAATCCTGTTCTAGGTCATTCAACTTGTTTTCTTTTACAAAAGGGTGCTTCAACTTTCAACAACTTCTTGTAAAATAAGAAACAAAAGGGTTTGTGCGATTGTTTTTTTTTTTTTTCTAGGGTAACCTGTAATTCAATTAATTGGAGGAAAATGTTACATCATCTAGCCGTAGCTGATCAACAAGGAAAGTAGGTGGATTATCAAGCCACACTTCTCTACTATCCCAACTAGTCCCGTTGTGAGCCATGATATGTGATGAATTTTTCGTCGATCGCCTTACATGTTTAACACTTCCCGGGGACGGAGTCTGCTCCTGTAGAAGACGAGAAATCCGCTTGCAGATGACTCCAATCTCGGTTTGCACATCCTGAGCCTGCACTACTTTCTCAACCAACGTCAAGCTGTCAACTTCAAGTTGAAAGCGTTGGAAACCCAGCTGGTGCGCTAATTGGACTCCGAACTCTGCCGCCAGCGCTTCTGCCATTTCCACTCCAAAGGAACCACGAACCATCTTCGTTGCCGCAACAAGAAAGCGCCCCTGATGGTCTCGATAAACTGCTCCCAGGCCTATCCCATCATTAGCCAAAAGTCCGGCATCCGTATTGATCTTGATCCACCCTTCCGCCGGTCTCTCCCAACGTTTCGTCTGCGCGTCGCATGGTACTGCTTCCTCGGGGCCTTGGTTCTTCCTGTAGTCATCAAGAATTGAAAGTGCACGCTGTAAAATCTCGTCCTCAGACCATTTGGGGCCGTTAAATAGATGTGCATTTCGTTCCTTCCATATCGCCCATAGTACCAAAGCCCACGATTCCGCCACGTCCAAGCTCTCATGCTTCATCACCTCTGCCACCCATTTCATGTAGTCCGACGATCCATGCACAGTAAACGCACTTCCCCACGGTGATCCTCTCCATATCCGGCTACTCCAACTGCACTCGAGGAACAGGTGGTGTTGGGTTTCCTTTTGGTCGCAGAACGAGCATTCATCACTCCGTTGTGAGTTCTTTGTAACCACTTTCACTCCTGTTGGGAGAATATCCCTGGATAACTTTCACAAAAAATGACGAACTTTGGGAGGGACATTCATGGTCCAAATAGCCTTCCAGAATTTCTCATCACCCCGTGGACCAATCCCCTCCTCCTGCATAAAACCCGTTAGCCATTGCTTGTACCCACTCTTAACAGAATAGCGACCATCATCACTATGACACCATACGAGGCGATCTTGCTCCTCACTCCCCCGGAGAGGGATGGCCATTATAGTATGCACAGTCGGATCGGGAAAGCAATTATGAAGCAAATCAAGGTCCCAGCTTTCCGTTGCGGGGTCGATAAGGTCTGGAACTATTGCGTCCACCGGGAGATGTCTCGGGGCTGAGGGGACGAAAGCTGGTTCTGTAGGGAGCCACTGGTCCCCCCAAATCTGCACTTTGGCACCATTACCCACTCGCCAACGAAGGTTGGCACACAGGAAGTCTTGTGCACTGAGCAAGCTTCTCCACATGTAGCTTGGTTTGCTTCCCAGCCGAGCTTCCAATATAGAAGAATTCTTATGGTACTTGACGGCTATGATCTTGGCAATGAGAGATGTCGGTCGTTGGAGACATTGTAATCAATATATTATTGTATTTTTTATGTATTCTAATTATAATATTTAATAAATATTATAGAGTTGTATTTTAATAATTGGAAATATATTTTTAATGAAAATGTCATTTTTTTATTGAATCGGATCCTTTGTATTAAAAACAAACCAAAATGGTTAAATCGAGTACAACAAATGATAGAGGCAAACCTCTATCTTTCCTCCTCGATTTTTCTTTAGCCGGATCAATTATCGCCTTTTCCACCAATATTCTTCGTTTGACCTCATTAATACTATCATCATTCCTTTTCTTTTTGTATTCGGCTTCCTCTAGGTGCATTCTCGCTGTCAATGCTTATTTGTCAAACTTGGCCCTTAGAGCCTGCCATAGGTCCCCTAACTCCTCCTTCTAGTATGCTCTACCATGTTTTGGGTTTTGTCAAATCCACCCATAATTCAAGTTCAACCAAATCCTGCCCTGTTGGTGAAGGGGTAGGATAGTAGAGCTTAGGATGTCCCACCATTCTGCAAGAGAAGCAGTACATAGGGAGGTTTTCATAATTCACGTCATAGGTCTGTCTTGATCCTTTGAGATTAAGTGTCAGCTCATTTTTTAGTGGGGTTCGGATGTCCTTACCCACCTTTATCCTGAGTACACCATTACAGAAACATTCCTTTCGACTATCCACCAAATAATTGTATGCCAAATCTTACTCCAATCTTGTGTATCATCTCTTTGTCTGCAATGTTGATGGGAGATTATAAATTTGCATCCATATTTCCATGATATGAAAGTCCTCTACTTTTGGTTGTTGGAAAGCCTCAGCTTGCTTAAAGATTAGCAAACTATTCTCGAAATGCAGGGTCCTCCGACGAGCACTTCATCATGATCGCTTTTGTTCATGAACTGGAAACCATATAGTTGGTCCACTGGAAACCATATAGTTGGTCCCTAGACTCTAATATTTGGAAATTCTGTTGCAAGTTCCATGCCTTTGATAGAGCTATTTTCATTGATTTCAGGTTTGGTTTCTTGGAGGAAACGATTCTACCAGTCAACCCTAGCAGACTGACCGCATGACCAAGAGTCGAGTCAATATCGTCATCCTCCACCACCAGCGCTTCGTCATCCGTTAGTTTGATATGCTAAATCTTATCCTAAAGTATCTGGGCCATGCCTCCTTGACCGTCTGTATCCGTTGTCGCTTCTGCCATCGAACCACTCCCCACCTCTGTAACTTTTGGTGGGGTTATCGATAATAGGATTTTCTTTGTCCATCTAAAAACTCAGGATTTTCAGAAAAACTTCTGAAAAAACAAAAATATCACTCCCTTACCCTAAACCGCTTGAGGCAGGTTAGGGTTTCAGACAAAAGACGAGACCCTAGAGGGTTCTAACAACACCCCTAGGAAACTCTCACTCTAGATCATTTACCGCAGGAGGCTGTAAAGGGATCTAAGCAGGTGAAAGACACTATAGAGAAACTCTATGAATCAAGACAACCGTCAATCCCAAAAGGCTGAAGAAAACCTAAAGCAATCGCGAGAACCCTAGTTTCGAAACTCTCGCTAGACAAAAGAGTTTTTTTTATTGCTGTATAATTGAAACTAGTGAACATGAGGAACTTCATTCAAATCGCATAATATGAAATTCTTTTCTCGTTTAACCGATCAATATATCCGGTTTTGACCGAAATTAAGGTAATGACTGGGTTCATTTAAGGCTTGATACGAACTCCTTTCCCGTCGATTTGATGACCCATACTAATTTGAACCTAATTAGAGGAAAAGGGTGTGACAACCATGATTATTACAACTTTACTACAAGTCTACAACCAACCATAACAACAAGATGCTTTAATATTTTTGTTGCGTATTGTCTCAAGCGGCAAAAAGCTTGTGTCTCCATAGTGGGCCGGCTCAGTTGAGACAAGGCCCAGAAAACATTGGAAGGTTCAGCCCGTCAGTAAATGTAGGAAACCCTAGGTTTTGCCTTGCATATAAGTTATAACCCCTAGCTTCGTCGATTCATCCCGCTCCGTCTCCAATTTTCTGCCGTCTGTGCTTCCTGGTGTTCAATTCCGTGCTACCTGCTCTCCATCTCGCGACCATGGCGGCTGCTAATCCTGCCCCTCCTCGCGCCCTCTCGGCTAAGGAGCTGGACATTCAGATGATGTTGGCCGCCGAGGTCCATCTCGGAACCAAGAACTGTGATTTCCAGATGGAGCGATACGTCTTCAAGCGTCGCAATGATGGTATACATCGAGTCCTCCTCGTTCCTTACACTATAGATTGATGTAGCGTAGCAGTCGAGTTAAGTTGTTACCTTTGTCCTCCATTTTTCTTGTTGACATGTTAAGCTGCTGAAAACCTAGTGTTGGATCCTTCTGCTTTATGACGGGGCCTATAAACTCCGTATGCTGTCCTGGTTTCATAGGCCGTTTTGCGCTTTAATCTGGCTCTTATCTTGCTTCTCTGTGGATTTCAGCTTAGTTTTTCGCTTTAGCGAAAATGGTTATGTTTTGGGCGATTTACTTAGGGTTTAATCAATACCATCTGTAGATTTGTCTTAGGGTAATTCAGCATTCTGTTTTCAAGCAGAATCTGGGCTGTTTAGTCCTGACTCTTCGATTGAACTTAGGAGAAGTATAAACGTAGAAGATATGGCTCATGGGTTGTCCAGTTCATTTTATTATCAAGTAGACTCAATTTCCAGTGGTTTGGATATGTTGATTGATAATTTGGGTCAGGCAGGATCCAATTTGATGGTCAAACTATGTACCATTTGGCATCTTTGCTCCGAGTTTCATTCTATCTATGTCGTAATAATGTTGACTCTCTGGTCAGGTATTTACATCATCAATCTTGGCAAGACATGGGAGAAGCTGCATATGGCTGCTAGGGTTATTGTAGGCATTGAGAACCCTCAGGACATCATTGTCCAATCTGCTAGGCCTTATGGTCAGAGAGCCGTCCTGAAGTTTGCTCAGTACACTGGAGCTCATGCCATTGCTGGTAGGCATACCCCTGGTACCTTCACTAACCAGATGCAGACCTCCTTCAACGAGCCTCGTCTCTTGATCCTTACTGACCCGAGGACAGATCATCAGGTGATTGTCGTCCCCATTCTGTACCTACATTTGGGCAACTTCGTTTGATTAATTTTGCTGACACTTTGAGCCTGCATTGCAGCCCATTAAGGAAGCAGCTCTTGGAAACATCCCAACCATTGCCTTCTGTGACACTGACTCCCCCATGAGATACGTTGATATTGGCATTCCTGCCAACAACAAGGGAAAGCACAGCATTGGATGCTTATTCTGGATTTTGGCACGCATGGTTTTGCAGATGCGTGGTACTATTCCCCAAGGCCACAAGTGGGATATCATGGTATAACATCAAGTGTAAATCATTTCTTTCTATTTACTTCAGATTTTGCTCTCTGTCATAAACCTTTGTTTATATCCTTCTCTGCTCTTGTGCAGGTTGACCTATTCTTCTACAGAGAACCCGAAGAAGCCAAACCACAGGAAGAGGAAGAAGTTGCTGCTGCTGCCGAGTATGGGATCACTGCTCCTGATTATGGCCAACCTTTGACTGACTGGAGTACACCTGGGGATGTTCAGTGGGCTGCTGATGCAGCTCAGCCTCCTATTGCTGGTGTTCCAGCACCTTACTTTCCCGATCAAGGTTGGCATTTCCTTGAAGTTTCCATTAAACCAGTCACTTCCCGCTCCTAATAATTGTCTTGTTAGTTGTGTGTTGACTTGCCCTGGCTTTGATTTTTGCAGCTGCTGCACCCATAGGCGGCGACTGGGAAACTGTACCAGCCGTTCCTTCTCCGTTTCCAGCTGCCACCGAACCTGCAGCCACAGGATGGGAGTAAAGCTGTTCTTTCCCGTTGGAATCTGTAGCTGTGATTCACATGTTCTATTACTTCAAACATCAGCGTTTTAAAGCACCCAGTTCTAGGCATGAATGTTTTGTTTGCAGTTTTCTTTTTGGGTTTGGTCTCAGTAATGATAGTTGTAGAAACCAATTTGGGGGAGCGTTTTTTTGACAATGAAGTAAGGTTTTGGTGATGCTTCCTGATAGTGTATGTCTGTTTCTTGCATTGCAATCTTCATACTCTTCTGTTTCAGAAGACTCGAATCCGTCAATTGCTCTTTGTTTTCGTTTGTGGCATATTCCTTGACTATTGTGTCGATATTACTAGGATGATTTTAGCTTGCGTCACTGAATCAGATTTCCAGTAATTAGGTTGAAATTATGAGGCGATCACTCAGATTGGTTCTACTCGCCGAAACTATTGATCAATCTACAATACAAGATCGATTTTTTCTACTTTCTTCTCGACAGTTGCTGCATCAAAGCGACTCTGATCGCTTATACTTAAATTCTGGAGTCGTTCTCCTTTTATATCAATTATGTTCTTCCTAACACCAACAATGGTGGTTCTGGTGCTCTGATTAATGGACCTGACCAAAGCGTCCATGTCCATTTCTTTCCAAGCAGTCCTTGTTCCTGGGCGACTGAAAGAACCAATCTTATTCAGGTAACCAAGTAATTCTCTTCTAGTTTAGGACCTTAAGGTTTGCAGAGTAGCCATAAGTAAATTGAAGTCCAGATCTCAGCCGGACGAAATAGTATACCTCAGTCAGCTTATCATCAACTGTTGCTATGCAGATTCATTTCTGAAACACTATAATGGGAGGTCTAATGGTAGCAACTATGTACAAGGCGGTTTGCTTCCAGATTTCTTGTTTCTGGGGGAACCTTTTACTGCTTAAAAAGTCCCAATGAATCACGAGACTCTGGCAGCTCATTTATCAAACCGGCATTCCTCACAACTCAGACAAGCCAATGCTCATTGGAACTGTTATCGACATATGATAATGCCTGCCACGACGACGTCAGCTGTAGTATGTGAGCGCACCCAACTCTTGCTCTTATTTTCTGTGTTCTTCTGTCCGTGAATCCACATCCTTAGGATGGGAATCAATTTCAGGGAAGCTCGAGTCAAAATTCGAAATGTCATTTCAGTGGAACATGGTGACGCCATCGTTTACCCAGTGAACAAACCGTTGTGAATAACCGACCAACTCATTGCACCCGAGTTCGCTACTACCAGCGCGGTAACTTCCCTGCACAACGAGCAAACAGGAATCAATCAGGTGTCGAGCAAATGCCATGAGGAGAGACACACTCCTACTGCAGTTGAGACTTGCGAAACAAGATACTCACCAGCAAGCTAGAGCCGGAGTCACTTGCAGCTGAAGACATCTCTGTTCTGGCTTCATTCACAAGATTCTCAGACGACAGACCAGCAATAGACCTGCCACCAAATATGGAGAAAGGTTACTCGGATACACCCAGATATTTGACTTGGAAGAACAAAAGGGGGCGCTACCTGTCGCTTGGATCTTCATCGCAGGAATTCCCCGATGAAGAGAGCCACTCTAGATCGAGGAAATTTGAGCAGCTACTCGTATCCCCATGTTCATCGTAATAAATGGGACAACTTTCGTATTGGTCTTCTTCTATATCTTCAAAGAGCTGCTTGGGAGTCATCGATGGATTAAACCTGAAAAAGGATAAACCTTTGAAGTCTACCTAACGAATTCTATGAACTGAACCATTGGAGAGTCAACATAACACAAGAAAATTCGAGGGCAGACCTGGAGTAAGAGAGGTCACTATCACAAGTCGAGATCTCGGGGGAAGAGTCTGAGAAACCCTTATCACCGCCTCGTTGTTTATCGACCAAGAGTAAATTCTGTCCAACTCTGGTATGCGTCTCAGTTGAGTCACTTTCACTTTCAAATAGTAGATTTCCATCAGACATTGATCTCTTAATCAATGACCTGCACATTGAATGGTAGACGTTCTAACATAACCATTATGCTTCAGCAGCAGATTCCATGCATGCTTCAAGTTGAAAAGAAAGAGCAATTCCAACCTGGCATTCTCAACACGCAAATCAGGATTACGACCTCCAATATTGTAATGGTGATCCGAGTCCAATTCCCACAGTGCTGGCTTTCCTGGCTGCGGCTGAAAGTAGCCCAGGAATCTGCTCAACATCAAAAGAATAGTAACGAGAGAGGCAACCATTTGATATCAGCTCAATACTATGGAACGCAAATAAATAACAGAGAGAGGAATGTTTTACATACATGTTAATAGCATCTTGTTTCTGAGCATCGACGTATGCATTACTGTAGTATCTCTGTAGAGTCCTGAAGAACTCTTGGGACTGAGTTGCAGCTTTCCACTGACCTCTTCTCTCAGAAAATATCTGCATTACATTAACATCGGCAAATGTATACTGGCTCAAAATTCAAGAGGACGCTATGAAAGCTCCAAAACATGAAACTAGAGACTACCTTATTGTGCGCAGCGGATCCTCCATACTGTCGAGCGAGAGTGTCACCCATTAATTCATATAGGCGCATCAAATTCTCTGCTAATGGGTTATCCAGATTGATATTTGGGAATTCCACAAACCCGAGTGCATCCAGCTGCTTTCCGAGAGCCGCCAAACCATAAGCATACTGAGCAACATTGGTGCGATCCAAACAGTCTATGCAGTTGGTCCTCAAGACCCCCTTCTGAAGAGTAGGTTCCTTGACCTTGTTTTCCTTATTATCATCATTATTTAAGTCGTTGATTACTGGACCAGACTCGCTCGAATTGTCACATTCAATTGTATGGCGTTCCTTCGAACAGACATCATTTGGTAATCCCTCACGTCTCGGACTAGACGAGACTTCACAATAGAAGATGCCCGTCAAGTTCAAAGCATATGCAGCCACTCTTCCAAGAAGTGACAATACGTTGGTACCTCTGCAGCGGTCAATCCAGCTTGGGTTAATCATATACTTGAAAGAAAAGTGAGCATAATGAAATCAAGCTAAAAGGGTGGGCCACAAGTACCTTCTAGAGTGTTTGTTCAGATCCCAGTGAAGGAACCTTAGACGATTCTCCTTCGGTAAGCTCATGTTGAGAAACCTGATTGCACTTGCAAACTCTGCTCGGAGTATACTTTCTCGGGGTTTTGTTTCATGTGTCTGAAAAAAACAAATGTGATTTAAGAAATATAAACCAATACAATTGAAAGGAAAAACTTGAAAGCTTCCTTCTTCAAACTGCAGAGACTGACCTTTATTAGATTCAAAATGATTATAGGATTCCCATATCTCTTTGCAAGATTTTCAAAATGGAGCCTAGTCGCCTCATAGGCTTTATCCTTCTTTGATACTGTGGACGAGAACAAGAATCAAGACTTAAGAAATTTATGCACCGAAGGTAAAGAGTTTGTAATTCAGTGTTCAGCGTTTCAATTCATACGTATAATATCTGGTTTGATATTCAATCTTGAAGTTTCCTGAGACCAGAAAAGTGGGATTGAACCTCGGTTCTGGACAACAGAACTTATTTGGACTGAATGCCCTTCAGGAGAATCTTCAAACACAATTTGTTCAGTCTCAACATCATTAGCAACCCTTCCTTTCTCATTTATCCCACGCTTCAAATATCTGCAAGAGAGAGAGAAAGCAATCTCATAACAAAGTTAGGTTACGATCAGCAGTATATTTAGCCATGTAACTACATCTGTTACTTGTGGAGCTGCTAATAAGAAGTTGCCCTGCCTGGTTTCGAATGAAGTTTGAAAGGTAAAGATAAAATTGATACCTTGTTCCAGCATAATGACGTGACCGTCTGGAAATGAGAGTCAGCTTAAAGTCCCTTCCAGACACCGATAATTTCACCTGAATGGCAACCAGAAAAAAGGGGTTAAGATCAGTCTATTAGATAACTGCAACGTGATATTGGTACAAGTTTTAGGAGGATAAAGATTACAGTTGTTACAAAACTACCCAAATTGGTTCAGCAACCTCGTATATGGAACATTTCTGTCTAACATAAACAAGATATAATAGCTTCATATATAGAAAGCATGTTGCCACCATTTTTATTGAATAGGAACCGCTATCCTACCCAGGGAAAACTGTAGGAAGGATCTCGGGCCCCACTCTAGATTTGGACATGGCCAGCTGACTTGAACCAATGACCACCATGAACGAGCTTTTCTAAATATCTTCGCTTCATGAGACATTCTGCCTCAAATCCAAAATTTCACAAGCATTTAGATGCATATAGTTCCAGAAAACAGTAGACCGACCTGCTTAAAGAACCCGTGTACTAGTGCCACTGTCCAGGTAGAGTTCTTGAGGCTCTGTCTGATTCCTCGAGTCAAGAATTCATTCCAGACAAACATGGTCTCATAATGAAGCCTTCCTGTCTCACTATTACATAAATTCTTTTGAAGACTATGCATAACATTGTATGAATAGCTGAAAAAGAAGTCCCTTGTAAGATCCACCATGCAAAGAAGCTTCTTGTATCTATTTGATCATCAAGAGAAAAAGAAGAAAACAAAGAACAAGGCAAGAGAAGTTAGTCGATTCATGAAACGTCAAAATGAGAGAGAAAATATTATGCAGAGCAACTAGGTAAAATTTGCTAATCAGAAATTAACTGAAACAAAGAAACTGACTCATTCCCCCACAAACTCTTGCCAATACCTTGCTTCATTCAATACGTTATATTAACATTACACTAGCAATGAAGTTTTGTTCTGTACATAACAAGACCAACAGGCAACAGCTACTATAGATCACGGAAACTAACAAGAAGAAAATAGCTACTTCTAATAATGCATAAATGAATTAAAATGGGGGGGACATAAAGAAGCAGAAGAAGCACCAAGAACGAAGAAATAGATAATGCTAGTGGAAGAACTATAAATAAGCTTGAATAATAGATCCCTGCGCCATTAATTAACACGCGCCGACAAATATAGTACAGAAATCACTTCTGCAACTTTGAAAATGCCTACTCTAAATTGATAATGACAGGAAACCCATATTATTGGTCCCAAACAATTCACTGGAAGAAAAATAAAACAATCATGACTATCAGAAGGTCCTCGACTAATTACAAAGAAACAGTGAGTAGTGTTGAGAACCAATCTGACAAGTCTCCTTAAAAGTACCAAGTATTTGTTCCAGTTACATGCAAAATAGACAAAAGACCTGTTCTCATTCTTAGAATTAGTCATATTCGACTGCACAGGAACTGGGATCATCTCGCTCCTGGCGATTGCATAGATTGAATGGCCACAAATAGCACCAATCTTCCTTCTTTGGGTTATCACCAACATGTAATAAGGCCCCAAAAATTTAATGAACCCTAATTTCAGAAGAGAAAGAAAGAAAAGGATTTTGTGAGTGCAACGGAAAAACAGAATCAAGCAAGTCAATAAATCCTATATTGGCTATGAGGAGCATACCAACTATTCCATAGCAAACGGTAACAAACTTCAGTCCACCAATTGTCTTATTTCCTTCATGTATTCTCCGTAACAAGTCACAGCATTCAATTTCGCTGTATGAAGTCGGATCTTCTAGGATATTCAATTCAGATAGGTCAGATCGATCGATCTTTAACACCTTCCAAAAGTTTCTGCTTTTGTCTCTTCCAATCATATACAAGTGCTGCACATGCAGTGAAAATAAAAACAACAAGTTAGATACTACATTGACTAGATAGTAAAGAACGTGAAAGCAAAAAGTGAACTACATAAAGAAGTGAACCTAACAAGTCCGCCAAGAGACGAATTCAAGCATGATCTGCACATAAATGTTAATGCATACGAAAGAATGAGTTCATAAGGAAATGATTTATCTTAGACGTGTTAGGTATTAGCATTAAAAATCCGAACACAATAGTAAATCACGTATTTGGTAAAGAATCGCCGAAGTGAAGGATGATGTCCTCACCAATGTGATATGGAGATTACTACTAATAACACTACCAAATGTGGTGAATTTGTCTCTAACGAGACATGAAAACTCAAGATATGATAAGAATCAATCACCCCATACAAAAATGTCTCTCCCAAAAGGGAATATAGCATAGAGAAAATCCTGCAAATCTTCACTGATAATGATGCGCGCAATTGATGAGGAAGCTGTCTATGTTCTGAGCAATCGTATATTATGAACTCAAATGACAAGTAATTATGTAAGAAAACGAGGAAATTCACAAATGTTTTGCCAATTCATCTGTGAAGTTAAAAAACAAGCCTTAGGATTGAGGAATCAAATTCAGAAGGGAAATGAAAGATGGCATACCGAACGAGTCTCATAGAGTCTGAATTTCTGCAAATAGGCAGAATTCGAAGCTGGGGGAATCGCCGGGCAAGTCTCCATCTTCATTCAACTTATCGTGCTCAGGCTCCCAAGAGCCCAAAGGGCAAAGGAAGTCAACACCTTCTCCGGTTGCCGTTTGCTGCATCAAAGAACAAAACCTTTGGTCAGTCTGGAAAGAAAGAATCGTTACTAACACAAATTGCCAGCCAAAGCACATGGGGGCAAGCAAGTTGCTGCCTGTGCTTCTTCAAGTCAAAGAATCAGATGAATTGCAGAGAAAACCCCAAATTTACATCAAAAGTTTAAGCAAAGCTGCAAACTTTTTGAGACAGAATCTATCTTTGATCCAAGAAAAGAGGACCCAATCAAGAAATTTCAAATTTGAGCTTATGTTAGCCCAGAGCTGTGATCTCGCAGAGAGGGGACAGAGAGTTGGAGGAGGAGCAAACCAGGGAGAAGCAGGGAAGATGGTCAGAAACGCCGCCGTTTCTCAGAGATAGAAAGCCCAAATTTGAACCAGATCGAGGACCAGGGAGAAGAAGCAGTAGAGACACAGAGAGGAAGGAGAAAAGAGAAGAGATTGGGGGGAAAAGGCTGACAAGCTGTAGATTGCCACACAATGCACGGACTGACAAAGAGGAGCCCAAATTTCCTCTTTTTAATTTTTTTTTCTTCTTTTCGTATAATAATATTGTGGAGGAAATCATTTTAACTGATTTTCCTACTTGGCTACGCATATATTACTTCTTCTTCTTCTTCTTCTTCTTCTTCTTCTTCTTCTTGGGTATTTGAATGAATATTAAAAAAATTAAATAATTGATGATTGGGGAGGGAGGGAGGGAGGCCTAATTCTAGGGATGTTTGTCTTTCCAGAAATTGCTAAAAGGGGCTGTTATGTGTGAAAACAAGATTTTACTGTTGAGTAGTTACAGAATTGTAATGCATTAATTTGATTGAATTGTTTCGTTTTGAAATTATTAGTTAAAGTTTTTTTTTGTGTGTGATTTTATTAGATAAAGTTGATTGGTTGTCAGCAGAAATTAATTTAAATAGATTTATTTGGTCTTGACAATTTTTAATTTATCTATTTTGACTCAATTTCAATTCTCTGAAGTGGAGACAATTAATTTAAACGGACTGGTTATAAATTACTCGTCTTATAAAACGAGATAATTATCCAAATGTTATAATTTATGAATTTGATCTATGTCCAAATATCAATTATAGCATTTTGTTAAGCTCCGTTCTTGTTTCTCCCTCCTTTCTCGTCTCTTTCTTGGCCTCTAGATCTATAGGGTGGATTTCTTAGTAATAAACCTAGGGCATGTATAGTAAACACTAAAACTTATGTTAATGGGTTTGGGAAGTTTTGATTAATGGGGATACAAGTTTTGAATGAGTTCTTAGTGATTCTTGATATGTTTTGTTGACATTATCAATGATTGACATTTATTTGATGGGAATTGTAGACTATACATTAAGACTTTATATAGGCGATGGTAAGTTTCAAAGTTCAGATCAAGCATATGGCGTATGTTATTAGTCGACGCTACTGTAATCAAATTCTTTGAAGCTTACAATAATAAGTATTTGAATAAGAATGATATAAATAAATTTTCTGCTCTAACTAAAAAATATTTAAAATTCCAAATCTTATATCTCTTATATATAGTTGAGCTTTTGGTGATATATCATTTTGGTAATCGATATTTGTCGAAATTACAATTAGGAGCGGCATCATTCTTTCTTAATTAACCTCTATGAAGTAGTCTCCTTCCACTGTTGTTGCACAATGTCTTCACATTATAATATAATGTTTATATATACAAAAAAAATTAAAAGATACATCACAGATATGGAAGCATAATGTTGTAGGATTAGTGGGAGATTTTTTTTTATGGTAGGGCTAGTGGAAGATTGAGAGAGATCAAGGAGAATATGCTAAATCATATATGCTATTTCTTTTCTGAAAAACTTGGCTTATTCCTCATCTTCTTTGTGGACATGGTACAGATCCCCTTATTATTTTATCAAAGGCATCCTTGCACTTAGGGGTGGCAATTCGGTTGTGGTTAGCGGCTAACCGGCCGGTTCAACCGATAACCGTCGGTTAGTGGCTAACCGAAAACCGACGAAATTTAACCTCGGTCGGTGGTCGGCAAGAAAGGGTGGCTTCTCGGCTAGCCGAGTAACCGGTGACAATTAACCGTGGCTAACCGAGCTAAACCCAATCAATGCCAAACGACACCATTCTAGCCCAATCCCCCACAAAAATCGAAACCTAATATCAAGACTGAAGACTCTGCCTCTCCTCCACCCTCCCAAAACCGTCGCTTCCCTTCGACTTTGCCTCTCCTCCACCCTCCAAAATCATTCGTTCCGTCGCCGTCTCCCGTCCCCCGACCCGGCCACTCCGCCCGTCCTCTCCTTCCGACGAACCCGCCACTCCGCCCTTCCTCTCCTTCACTCGCCCCCACAACCACGGATCTCCAGTCCGCCGATCCTCTGCTCTGCCGTTCCTCTTCCTTTCCTTGTCGCACCCCCAAGCCCAAGAACAAAACCCAGAAACCAATAAACCCAGGTGGCTATGTAGGAGGGAAGAAGTCAGATCTCTTCGATCTGGTTGGAGATGCAGCCATGCAGGGACCGAAGTTGGGGATCTGGATTCTGGATCTACGGATTGGTGGGTGCGGCGGGAGGATTAGTGACCAGTGGAGCCGTCACCGTCGCCGTCCTTCCTCTCCGGGAGTCGCCGTCGCCGTCCTTCCTCCTTCTCCGACTTTTGTTTGCGGCGGCAGGATTGGTGGGTGGCTGGGTGTGATAGTGCGACGGGAGGAGAGTGGAGAGATGAGGAGATGAGGAGAGGAGAGATGACGGGAGGAGAGTGGAGAGATGAGGAGAGATGAAGAGTCTCACTGTCTGTCTCCATCTATCTCCATTTTCTTTTTTTGTTTTTTTTTAGGTTTTCATATAATTAAATAATAAATTAATGATTATAAATAATATTTTTCGGATAGTCAATTAACCGCGGTTTAACTGTTATCCGATCGGTCGGTTTGCGGCAAACCGAAGCATGATAGGCGGTCGGTGGCCGGTGACTGTAAGCGTGGTCTCGGTTTAACCGATAACCGAGAAATCGGTTTTCGGTTAAAGCAAAATCGACCGACTAACAACCCTACTTGCACTACTATAGGGCCGAACAAACAACCCCATACTAATTCATATGTGAAATTTTTTATCAAAAGCTTTTAGTAATGAGATCTAGATCTCATTTTATGGTGTGTAAGTTATCCGAAAAATGTTTATTAAGCAAGTAAATCTCATTTTACTATATACACATTTTTAAAAAAAAAATTGACCATCTAAAAATGAATAAACAATTCACTACATGGACTGAATTATTTTTATTATCAGCCCAACAAAGAACTATAATTAGATGAGAGAAAATCATGACCATGAGGTTGTGGAGATTCGATTACAGACACTAGAAATTGTAACCATACATGGACTATATAACATGAGAGCGGATAGAGCATAAATTTTTTTATTATATACCTTCTTAAAACATCTCTAAACATGAGTTTCCAAACTATATAAAATTATTAAAAAGAAAAAAGAAGTCAACGAAAATCATCATACTCTCGTCTTAAAGTCCATATCTAATCTTTCAGTTGAAATACATTTATACTGGTCTATCAAAATTCAAAATGAAGATCAATAATTCACTTTTTTTCAGATTACGAGTTTATGTTTCTCTGATAATCCCGGTGAACTATACATAAGACAAACAAATGTAAATGAAAAAGAAGGATGAATTGAGGGGTCGTTTGCTTGTGGGATTTGGGTGATGGATTTGGAACCCAAATCCCAAACATCATGGAGTTGACACAACTCCTTTGTTTGTTGAGGGATACAAATCCGTGGGGTCCATGGATTTGGACCCCTTTTTTAGATCCAAATCCGTGGACCCCACGGATTTGTAAATCCCACATTTCATTTGGGATTTGACAATAGAAGGAAAAAATGTGAGACAAATCCATCACAAATCCATGATAAAAAATCAACTAAACAAACAATGTACTCTTCCAAATCCATGATGCAACAAATCCATCATAAATCCAAAGGTTTTTAAAACTCAAAACCTTCATTTTCAAATCCAACAAGCAAACGAGCCCTGAATGAGACTGCCATGGATGGTGGATAGGGTCGATGAATTTCGAGAGAGTTCGTCAAGACATAATTTCACCTACAAGTCCATATGTGAAATGTAATTAAGCCATATATATGCCTTAATTTGGACAACATATATCTTATCTTATCACATAGTAAATTTAGGGTATGATATTATACTCTAACTCTTGATGACTAAATCTTAGATCTTAATTATCTAAATCATAGACCCTAAATACTGAAATGGTGCATGTAATTTGTTGGATGTATTTCGACGAATCATAACGTCGAATCATTTCTAATTGAATTGATCTTAGTATATGAGATTTATAGAATTAACATGTAGATTTTAATCTTTAAGGGCTAGAGTATAATGACATATCCCAAACTCCGATCAAATCTGAATCTTAATATCATCTTATTATTTAGGGTATGACTTACATATGATTTTGCTCAAGTTATGATAAAACCATCTATACTATACATGCAGGGTGCATTTGATCAGTAAGTAATTAAGACCCCTCTTAATTATATAAAACCATCAATTGACCAGCTGCCAATCCATTTATATGATTATTATTACATGATTCTTTTTAATGTTATAATATATATAAATTCAAATTGTAATTATATATTTTTATACAATTTTTTTAATGATACAAACCGAAAAAGTACGTTAATGTTGTGGGGCAAATCTAATTTAAATCTATACATTTTCGTACAAAGTTTTTTTTAATAGTAGAACTAAATTTCATATGCAACGTTATAATATAAATTCAAATTGAACCGGTAAACACCGATGATTTATGATTTATGAGCATTGTAAAAATTTTCTTGCATTCATGATCAAATTTAATTAGGGCGTTAGTCAAGCTCTACAACTCTCTTCATATATAATTCAGTTCCCATTTAACTACCCAATGTTCAAACTAATCTCACTATAATTTGTTTCATAAAAATAATAGGAGTCTCTATTCCTGTATTATTCATAGAGGGAGTGAATTAATTAAGAAAGCAATAGGAGGGAGGGAGTCTCTAGCTTCCCCTTTCCATTCTCCATTGGGGGTGCCGCCGGTTTCACCTTTGAGTGACCGGCGGCAACCCATTTTCCAGCTTTTAATGTTTTCCTTGCTCCTCTCTTTCCAGCCCCTTTGTGGGTTTCTCCATATGTGGTTTGCTACTGCCCTTCTGTGGATTTTGCCATGAACTTCTCTTCGGAGTTGTTTCCTCCTCCACACTTCAGATTTGTAGTCAGATCTTGAAGTCGTTCTCGGTGGTGTGCAGAGGGAATTGCTTTGCAATTTACAACATTCTTGTTGACTTTTGGAGCTCGCCCCCTTGCTTCACTCTAAATGGCCAGTGATTCGGTGGTTTGGCTTGATGCCTTGGGTTCTACTGTCAATTGTTTTGTTGTAGGGATTTTGGATTCTTCTTTGAGATTTTGTTGCCCTGTTTCTCTTTTTCTGTTTTGCTTGGATCGGTGGTGCTGGGATGCCTGTGGGCGGGTTTGGGTTCGTCGGTGGTGCTACGTGTTGATGCGGGGTTTGGGACGGTTGGCTTGTGCTCGCTTTATGGCTCCTGGTGTTGTTGCCTGCTGGTGGGTTTCTGGGTTTTGCGGTGGTGGCGGCGTTCTTCGTGTTTGGTTGCTTCCCCTTGGTGGTTTCTCTTTGTTGGTGCTTGTGGGTTTCGTTCTTGGTGGTGTCTGTGGATGGTACGGCTCTCCATGGGCGGCGGATCGGGTTGGTGGACGGCGGTGGCTGTTCTGTGATCAGGGGTGGCGGTGCGGCTCATCTTCGTGGCCAGCGGCTATTCTGTGGGCATGGCAGGCTGTTGTTTGGGCTAGGGTTTCTGGCGGGTTTGGAGTTTGTTGTGGGCTTCTGGGTTTTGTTTTTGTGGGCTTTTTTTTTATTTTATGTGGGCTTGTGATGTTGTCTGTCATTTTTATTTTGTGGGCTTGCAATTTCCCTTGAATGGTTCTGTATCCTTCCTGGACTTGGTCCAAACTCTGTAACCCTTTCTTGTTTCGTAATGAAATGAGGCTTTCGTCAAAAAATAGGAGGGAGGGAGAGAGGGGCCACCAAGGCCAGGTGGCAGGCAGGTGGGGGAGTTGAGCTGGAGAAAGCTGTGAAAGGAATGCGACGTGGAAATGGGTGGACTTCCCGTTTCTTCAAGTCCACGACATTATTTACTTTTTCATTAGGCCCATTTCTGGATAAACCGCAAGTTTGTTCACTTGAATTTTCTAAAACGAGTCATATTTAGTAACTGAAAAAATTAATATTAATTTTGATCACTCGAATTACTAAACGGTCCATATTTAGTCATTTTCCATTAATTTTAACTGATGTGATAGTCAACACTAACAGTTGACCGTTAAATGTTTGACGTGATAATTAAAAATGAATTAAAAATAAATGTAATTCTTTTAATATTTTCATATTATTAAAATAATAAATTTAAATAAATAAAACAAAAGAAATTCCTCCGCTTTTCTTTCCACTACCGTTGTTGAAGGAGATGTTTTCTCTGGTGTGGCAACCGCCGACAGGGAGATTTTGAAAGGTCACTTTCGGATGTTTTCTCCGATGCGATGACCTAATGATACTACCGCTAATCTTGAACCTGTATAAGTCTCAGATTTGAATCTAGTCGTGAGTAACAACTAATTATAAAAATCAACCTTACCCTTATCGAATTTTTTTTTTTGCTTGTTTGCTTGCTTAAGGTAGCAATTAAATGTTGTGTGTGCTTATGACCTCACAGCCATCCCACGTTTTTCTCATGCCCGCTCCCAATAATTATGTATATTGCCTTGCCTTGGTTCCTCGGCAGCACCAAAAATCGGCAGCCATCTCTCCAACTGAAGCTAAGTCCAACCCACTCTCGTTGCTTCTTTGCGGCAATATCCTCGAATCATTTTTTGTTGTTGGAGTCTCATTCATATATGGGCACACCAAAAGTCTTGTTAGGCTACTTTTCACAAGTTCAATGTTTAAATTACCCTATGCAAAATACGTTTAGAAAGGAACTTATTACATATAATGATGAAAGTTTAAAATCCAAATGAGATGACATATGACTACAGAGCAATCTACATAAATAATGACACTATCAATCACATCAGACGACCGCAAAAAATGCAGAGATGCACGCCAAAGGATGACGGAAGGGGAAGACGGTGAATTTGCTCACTAGAAGAGATATGAACCCACCAACAGTGAGTACACAGAACCCAATTGCCAAATCTTCATGAGAAGTGCCCATGCTGTAAAATTCGAACCCGAAATTGAGCAATACCATACTAGATCTAGAAAACTAAATTAGAGAAATACCAAAACTATCTCCAAAGTAGAGGCACCTAGAAGAAAACCACTTAGAAAAAGGGGAAAAGTCATACAAGACGGGAAAGACCATTAACAGATAAACAATAAAAATTGGTGGCCTGGCCAACCACTTTTCCTCTACATCCCAATTGCACTGCATATAAGATGATGAGGCTGAGCGGACGATTAAAAATATTTTTTATAAATTTTTCGGAGCCATATCCTTTGTATAATATTAAAAGAAGAAAAATCTTTCTGTATCTTTCGGTGAATAAGCAAATTCTATTTCACCGAGATTGACATGATAGCACATGCCAGACGCTCACCAAACTACGTACAATATGTTCATCACTTACAGCAACTCATAGAAACCAACAATGCCTCGATGAACAGGGAAAGAAGTGAATG